CTCTGTAGCCTCCTCCAGCCCCTACACCCCTCTCTATCTCTGTAACCTCCTCCAGCCCCTACACCCCTCCCTGTCTCTGTCACCCTCTCCAGCAACTACACCCCTCCTTATCTCTGTAACCTCCTCCAGTCCCTAAACCCCTCCCTATCTCTGTAATGTCCTCAGCCCCCTAAACCCTTCCCTTTCTCTGTAACCTCTTCCAGCCCCTACACCCCTCCCTATCTCTGTAACCTCCTCCAGCCACTACATCCCTTCCTATCTCTGTAACGTCCTTAGCCCCCATAACCCTCCGCGTCTCTGTAACCTTCTCCAGCATCTGCATATCCCTGTTCATTCATCCTGACTGCCCTTGATTTTCATCCGTCTGTCTATCTGTAATTTCTATGTTTATCTGCTCATTTTGGTATCTTTGCAACCAGACAACGAATTAAAGTTTATCACTGTATTCTCACTGGTAGCCAATTTGCCCAAGATGGTTCTGCAGCTTAGATTCTGAGCTGGGTAACAGACTTGCTGCTCTGTACAGATTCCAGTTGGATCCTCACAGGCGAAACATCTGGGATACTGGCCTGTTACAAAAAACAACAAGGTGAAACAGTAAGTTTGTGTTATCCCATTGACAGATCCCTTATGTGAGATTGGAATGGTAACATAGCATACTTGCAGTGCGGAAAGAGGCCATTTGGCCCAAGGAGTCTATGCGAACCCTTCAACGAGCAGCCCACACAATGATCCTCATGGCCAGTCCACCTAGCCTGCATACTTTGGGCAATTTAGTATAGCCCACTCACCTAACCTGCACATCTTTGGACTATGGAAGGAAACTAAAGAACACTCACACAGACACAGGAAGAACGTGTAAACTGCACACAGACAGCTGCCCAAAGCTGGAATTGAACCCAGGTCCTGACGCTGTGAGGCAGCAGTGCTAACCACTGACCCACCGTGCTGCCCATGCAATTGAGAAAAATTTCCACATCCTTGACTTGCACAATGCCATTCGGCCCATCAAGCATGTTCAGGTCTCCACCTTGAGTGGACCCTAACTGGCCCCACTTTTGCCCCATTTCCCCCAACCCCGACGCTGCATAAAATAGCCTACAGCCCTGTGACTGTACTCAATGACAGCCCTCTTTGTGAATGTTCCTGTTGAATCTGCTCCCACCATCCATTCAGATCACAATGACTTATTCTGTTGAGAGAATTTCGACTCGTCTCCGAGATGACAGAATGAAAATTGGTTTTCACATTGGGTCCTGCTAAAAACAGAGACAGTGTCAGGGCAATAAATAACAGGGCTAGAAGTGGGTGTGAGCATCTTGGCTGTAGGCCTGGTTTGGAGTATGGGAGCAGGGGTGTCTTGCTGCAATTGCACAGGGACTTGGTGAGGCCACAACCTGAGTATTGTGTGTAGTTTTGCTCTCCGTATGAGAGGATGGAAGTTCTGGCGATGGAGGGAGTGCAGAGAAGGTTTCCCATCCTGGGATGTCAGGACTGATGTATGAAGAGAGACTTGGTTTGGTTAGGACAGAGGAGTTTAGGAAAATGAAGGGGAATCCCATCGAAACTCTTTCACAGAACTAAGACAGTGTAAATGCAGGAAAGATGTTCTCAATGACCGGGGAGAGTTCAGAACTCGTGGTGTTGGGGGGGGGTGGGGTTCACAGTCTAAAGGATACAGGGTAGGACTGAGATGAGGAGAAATGTCTTCACCCAGAGACTGGGGAGCCTCTAGAATTCTCCGCCACAGAAAACAGTCGAGACCAAAAGGAGGCGACAAACAACAACACCTTCCGGTCGCAAACCATTTCATCTCCCCCTCCACTCCCTGGGCGACATGTCCGTCCTGGGCCTCCTCCAGTGTCACAATGACGCTACCCAGAAACTGGAGGAACAGCTCCTCATATTCCGCCTTGGGAACCTACAACCCAATGGTCTCAATGTGGACTTTACTAGTTTCAAAACCTCCCCACCCCCGGCCTCATCCCGTGACCAACCCTCCCTCTTAACCCTGCCTCCTTTACCTGACACAACCTGTCCGTCTTCTCTCCCATCTATCCGCCCCTCCCACCGCACTGACCAATCCCCACCTCTGCCTACCTGCACTCACCTATCACCATCCAACCTACCTTCCCCAGCTCTCTCTCTATTTATTTCGAAGCTCACTTCCCCCTCCCCCATTTCTAAAGAAGGGTCCAGACCCGAAACGTCAGTTTTCCTGCCCCTCTGATGCTGCCTGGCCTGCTGTGTTCATCCAGCTCCACACCGTTTTATCTCTGACTCCAGCATCGGCAGTTCTTACTATCTCTGAGGCCAAAACATTGAATGTTTACAAGAAGGAGTGTGATATAGGTCTTAAGGCTAAAGGGATCAATGGTTGTAGGGGAGAAAGGGGACTGGTTAATCAGCCATGACTGTATTGAATGGTAGAACAGGCCCGAATGGCCTACTCCTACCCCTAAATCCTATGTTTTCTTGGTCTTACTTGACACAAGGTTAGCGGGTGTCGCAGCTGGCATCCGCACAGTCGAGGTGGAGTACTCTGCTGTCGCAGTGTTTGTAATATTGACAGGCAAACTCTGTACAGATGAGGTATAGTTATTTGCTGTCACAACATTTAAAGGCGTTGTTGTCTGCACTGAGCCGACGTTTGAACTCCCCCGATTACAGCCACTCCCTCGGCAGCAATACAAGTCTTGCTGTGTCTGGACTCCATAATCCTTTAACACATCTCGGTTTTGACACATAGTCTCAGAGGCGCAGCCTTTAACAGTCAAAGGAAATGAATTTACTGTAAAAAAAAAGGAACATGAGCGTAATATGAGTGATTAGTCAGCTCTTTCTTGGTGTTTCAATTGGAAAGTAATTGACAGAGTGAACGCTGAGACTTACATGTGATGGAGGAGTGGAGGCACCGTGTCTGTGAACCTACACATTTCACCATTGTCGTTGGATTTTCACACGTATCGAGCAATGGGCACATGAAACATTTGAGGCCGTTCAAAGTGGTGTTAGCCTCTTCTGAGTGATAAAAATGAGAAAGACACCCATCAGACACGCGAAGAGTACAGAATCGATTAATAAGAATGGTCACAGGGATGAGAAACTTCAGTTATGGGGATAGATTGAAGAAGGTGGCACTCTTCTCCCTAGAGAGAAAAAGGCTCAGAGGAGATCTGATTGAAAATTTAATAGAATCGGTGCACTTGCGATGGGCCACATGACTTCATCTGCACCATGGCAGAGTGGACAGTAGCATAGACTGTGACCCCTGGTTCTGTAATCCCCAGTCATCAGGACATCCTACATCCTTCATTGCTCAGTCCTTTGAGTATTGAAGTTACAAAGTCATGTTGAGGTTGTACAGGCATCTTCTGGAGTGCTGTGTCCAGTTATGGTCTCCCCTGCTATAGGAAGAATGTTATTAAGCTGGTGAGGATTCAGAAGAGATTTACCAGGATGTTGCAAGGAATGGGAGGTTTTGAGTTTTAAAGAAAGGCTGGAAAGTCTGGGACTTCTTTCACTGGAGTGGAGGAGGTTGAGGGGTGACCTTATAAAAGTTCATATAAAATCATGAGGGGTATAGATAGGGTTGACGGTAGCTGTCTTTTTCCAAGGGTGGGGGATTTCAAGATGTCGGGGGTGCATTTTTAAGGTGAGCGGAGAGAGATTTTGAAAAAGGCATAAGGGTCAAATTTTTTACACAGAGAGTGGTTCGCGTGTGGAGTGAACTTTGTGACGAAATGGTGGATGTGGGTACAGTTACAACGTTTAAAAGACATTTGGAAAAATATATGAATAGGAAAGGTTTGGAAGGGTATGAGCCAACACAGGCAGGTGGGTCTAGTTTAGTTTGGGATTATATCCAACATGGACTGGTTGGACTGAAGGGTCTGTTTCTATACTGTACGACTCTATGTTATAATGGGGACAAGTGAGAGATTATCGCACTTTGGTAGGAGGACCAAGAGGCAGGCTGGGAGATTGGAAAGTACAGATGACCAAGGTGTCCTCATTCAGAAGTGATTAACATACAGATACGCAAATGGCATATTTAGACTTCATCGCAATAGGATTTGAGTGCAGGAGCGAAGAAGCCTTGATTGAATCGTATTAGAGACTCGGGAGACTGCTCTCGCACTGCAGTGTACTGGCAGTTCTGATCCCCCCTCTCACCTCCGTGACATAGAGGGAGAAGAAGCAAAGATTTAATAGACTGATTCCTGGGATGGTGGGACTCTCCTCTGAGCAGGAGTATTCGCTGGAGTCTGGAAGATTGAGAGGGGATCTCACAGAAACTTCCAATATTTTTAACAGGGCCAACAGAGCAGATGCAGACAGGATGTTTGACAGAGTCTCAGACAGAGACAGAGTCTCAGAATCAAAGCAAAGCGATTTAGAATCCCTACAGTGTGGAAGCGGGCCATTCGGTCCATCGAATTCACACCAACCCTCTGAAGAGCATTCAACTCCTACCCACCTCCTACCCTATAATCCACATTTCCGATGGCGAACCCACACATCCCTGGGCACTATGGGCAATTTAGCATGGCCAACCCATCCAACCTGCACATCTTTGGACAGCGGGAGGAAACTGGAGCCCCCAGAAGAAACCCACACAGACACGGGGAGAATG